CAACCCCATCACTTCATTAGTGTCTAAAACGTGGCTCAATGCTCGCTGGAATTTCCGAGCGTCTCGCGAACAAAATAATAAACTGATTGAAATTTCTACACACCACATGCGTCGAGGCAGGTTATTGTTTCAGAGCTGATGGGTGCTATTTGAATTACAATGCCGCACTAATGAAATGAAATGCAGTTACATCCCCGGAGCCCCTGCTAGGCTCTACCTTCCCTCCCCTCCGGTGCTTATTAATAGTAATCCTATGCCAACCGCACTACCCTCTACCCGTACCTTTCCCTCCCTCCACATCCCATAAAACAACATAGCAATGGTAAACAAGCAGGGAGGGAGCACTGAAGGAAAGTCTAATTAAATTTGGATTAATGTAAAGGCTATGATGTTGGGTATGAGTCAAAGCAAAGCCTCAGGCTCTGCCTAACACATTCGGCTCCCATTCCTTTCCTCCTCTTCAGCCAATGGTGGATAATGATTTCTCCCACCGGCTCAGACGGCCCCTTTCATGCCACACAATGTGAAAGGGCCTTGCTGACCAGCCAGAGATAATGCCTGATGCTTCTAAAATGTGCTTTAGGACAAAAAGCGAGACATTATACAGACTTCACAGGGCCTTTCCTTACACGACACTGCTTTAATGCTAAAAGGGTTTGAGAAAACATGATGGAAGACTAAAGACTGATAACAGAGAAAAGACCAGAGACACGACCCACTTGGGGGCAGTAGCAGATTCTTCACCAGGAGCTCTGCAAACAATTAAGTGTTCGCCAGAGACAGGTAATCATATTTTAATTAAGCTTTTCCACAAGAGTCCAGGCATCTCTTCCTCTGTAGATGACAGCATGAGCAAGTTTTATTTTGGCCTCTGGCTATTTGATGGTTTAACTACAAGTAATTGCGGCGATGGGGCCATGTTGGAAATTGCAATCACAGTCTGTAAATGTGGCAGAGAAGCTGGCATGCCATGAAAGCAATGTTCGAGGTTCACTCCTCCAACCTCCCATGACATTTATCAGAGAGAGAGAGAGAGAACTAGAACAGTAACAATCATGGCTCGGCCAAATCGCTAACCCCGCTCACACTGCATCTGAGCATCTAATCATCCTCGAGTCCGAGCTGCTGGATAAATCCTCTGTCTCCCACCATGACTGATTAGAGCCGGGCGCTCTCCAGTATAAAATGGCTGCAGCCCATCACCGAAGCGGGGCCTTCGACGTTGGCCGTGGACGAGGAGATTCAGACGCACATCTTTAAAGACTTCGTCAGTCCTGGGCATTGGGATTAAATGCTAATCTACGAAGATATTTCTCGTCGTCAAATCCAGCAGCGACAGTGGTGAGTTATTGCTAAACGATCCATGGGAGATTAGCATGGCAGAGTCTTATTACTCATAATTATGGGAGCAATTAGGCATTTGCAATTAAATTCAAGAGAAATGTCCATTTGATTCAACCCTTCCACCATATTCTCTGCAGTCTTTTTTGACACTCCCTCTGTGCAAATGTGATTGGCCTTTCAGCTTCACTAACTCTTTTTAACAAGATGTAGCACTGGTGTGGCAGGATGGGTGTGTGCGTATGTAAGAGAGAGAGAGTGACTTGAGAGTGAAGAGAGGCAGGGATGGGAAAGACGGAGACGACCGAGGTGTATTAAAGTTGTCAGAATGTGGCAGGTGATCGTGGTCAATAACTGAACGATGACAGCAGGTTTGTTTGACCGAGGTGAACGACGGGGGCAAAGTACAGAGGAGGCCGCGGGGGGTCCTCATGAATATGGGTGAGTGTGCGTTGATGTTTATGTATGACCACTTCGGCCTCATTTCAATCTGACGGGACCATCAGTTGAGGAGAGGATATCGGTGCATATTAAGCTGCGAGAGACTGCTGACAGTGAGGAAGTGTTCACCGTGTGTGGTCGCAGGTGTTCCTGCAGCGGAGCGAGAACATGGGGTGGGGGTAAATAAATAAGGGGAGCGAGCTGGGGAAGAGGGGTGGAAGGAGATGAGAAAGAGAGGGAGAGTAGGTCAAGAGAAGTGCTGTGCTTATGAAAGTGTGGAAAACATGGAGATAAAGGACACAGACAAAAGATAAGGCCCTGGGGCAGGAGTCAGAATTAATTGCCCCTGGCACACGAGGCCAGTGGATAAATTGCCCTGGATGGTCGACACGCAGGAGGGCTGCAATACGGGGACAAAGGTGTGCGACGGAGAGAGGCTGGTGGGGCGCGAGGTTAATTAAACTCTTTAGTGTGAAATACTTCCATTCATTACCTTCATTACCGTGTTCATTTAATCTGCGTGTTGACATTTTATCACATTCAGCCCATTGTAGCGTCATAGAGCTGATTAGGTTTCACGTTGAAGTACTCGGCGGCAGAAGAGGGCCGAGGGGAGCGAGAGGCTGGATAGCAGGTCAGTTTAGGTCTGACAGCCACAGAAAAACATCACCAAGTACATTGAGTACATGCTGGACATGCGTTTTACTTGATTTTCCACCGTAGAAACAGTGGATTAGTCTTAAAAGTGCACAAGGAAAACGATTTTTACCCTTGCTCTCCAGTGAACTGTGCTGGAGCCAGAATGTAGCCCTGAATAAAAAGAACCAAGGAGCCGTGCTTAAACCAGCATAACTGACGCCAAATTCAGGGGACTTGTCTTTGAAACAACAAAACAAGCCAACACTCCTCAGCTGAGTTATTTGCAGACTGGATCTTTCCTTAAAATAGACATAGTCTTCACTTTTTGCACCTGGGCACAAGGAGAGGAATTGGCTGTTTGAGGGCACGGTGAGAGCAAAGCAACCAAGCAGGCGATAGTGGAACAAAATGGATAGCACTGCGACAAAGCATCCCATTTCCAACTCCATTACGTCCCCTTCATAGTCCTGATAGTGTTGTGCTTTTTGGCACTTCACATGATTAATCACACGTGGAGCAGGCAGCAGAAACACAGGAGCCTGAACAGCATGAAGCTGGAGCTCCTCACTGGAGAAGACTGTGGAAAAAATATTCACTGATGAGTGAAGAGACCTGGAAAGAAAAGAGAATCAGGTGCTGAAATAGTCAAACTCCGACAACAGGTTTAACAAAGCTTGTGTTGTGTTTGTGCAGGATTCAGAGATGTAACTGTGAATTTTGCACAAGAAAGGTGTCATTTAAATGGGAACTGCACCGATTTCACACATGAAAGTCTGCTTTACAGGTGTCGGGGAGCACGACTGCATATGTGGGGGAAAAGAATTGCTTTATGTGGCTCCAGAGGGAGCTGCACAAAATCTGATAAACTATCGTGCGTGATGCCACTCGAGGCATACCTTTGGTTTAAGAGTACATGTTTGTAAATGAGAACGAAAAAAAAATAGAAAACTCCTGGGATGTGAAGCTACAAATAAGACCTCTGCAGCCTGCTCATCGTCTCTGCTCGAGGCGACTGACTCGAGGCAACATTAACCGCTAATAGCATAAATAACGCCCAAGTCAAAGACCCAACTGTGGCAGCTGAATCACATTGTGGGTAATGTAAGCATCAGGCGATAAAAAAAAAAGACAATGTCTCTGGTTATGCTGCATTAATTTAAATTTCTTTTGGTCCACCAGACAATATTTAAGTAATTCAATGCGTAATCAGAAGAATTAATTCATGTCGTGCACTGAGATGAGCCAGGAGAAGGAGGGTGAACCGTCTGAGTCCTGCTTGTTTGTGGAGATCAGCCTCAGGAATAATATGGAGCATGGCTCACTGTTGACGCCTTCAGCTTTCTTGGACAGACTGTAAACCCATGTGGTCCTTCAAACTTCCCCAATCACGTCTGAAGCAAAAAGTGATGACTGCACAGTACTGTGGACAGCCTGCCCGCCTGGCTGCCCCTCGCCTTCCTCTGCTATTGTCACTGTTCCCCTTCTGTCCTTTTCCCTGCATCGCTTCCCCTCGCTCTCGACTCTGAAAGTGAGCCAGTGTGCAGAGTGACCTTCAACCACACCCACAGGGAACAGAAAAAAAAGAATGAAGAAAAAAGAAGAGGGAGATAGTAACAGGATTGAAGATAGAATGGGATAAACATGAGGACATGGGTGAAAGAAATGCAGCAGAAAGAAGAGGGTTAAAGAAGAAGAAAAAAAACCACGCTGAAGTGGTGAAAATGGAAAATCTTTCTTCTCTTGGAAGCCAGCGGAGCGCAGAGCTGAATCTGACAAGAAAGATGACTCTCCATCCCCTTTCTCACCACTCTGATTAAACCTCTTACTTTAAAATGAAGCCAGCACACTGAGAACCACAGAAACGAGGGAGTTGAGGACTTTGAGCCTGTAAAAGGTGCAGAAATGCCGACAGATTCACTTGAAGAAGCAGGACCTTGAGGACAAGGTGATGCTGTGAAATCTCCTCACCCCCCAAAAAAACTGCATCTGTGGCCGACAAAGTGACAGAAATTGAATTCTCTGATGAAGCGAGAAGCCGGCTCTTTTTAAAACGGATTCCAGAAAGATTTGTTTTTCAGGGCAGATCTGTCTGAGGAAATTCCCACTGCTTCTGTGCATTCAGCCAACTGTAATGAGTTAATCTCACACAGAGGGATGGTCTCCTTGTGTGAGAAAGACAGTAAGTAGACAGAGGGAGGACTAATTAAAGTTGTAACATCTGCCTTCTGAGCACTAAATGTGTCGACAGGCTCCAAGCATCTCTCGCTCCACTTCCCCCCTCTTGTTGCAGGCCAGGAGGGGGTAAATAAGGTATCTGCCCCACTCCCAAACAATGCCATTAATCTTCTGCGAGTGGCATCATCATGATTACCATAACCAATGAGTATACTGTAGCTGGGTGCTCTAAAATATTCATAGCATCTTCTTCCAGCTTAACTTCCACAGCTGATGGTGGAGGAGGAGAGGAGGAGGAGGAGGAGGAACAGAGGAGGGTGGGAGGTCTGGAGTGAAGCACGTAGCCTGCTTACAAATTAACACCACAAGCCAACTCGGACAGCATGAGTGAGTTTGTGCTCCTCGTCCTCCGCCTCCTCCCGCTGCTGCTGCGCCGCGCTGCCCCCTTGCTCCTCCTGTGCCATCTTCCCGGTCTGCGGGCGCCGCTTTAACGATTCCGCGACGCCGCTCCTGCTCCACTTTGGACGGACTTCCGCGCAACAGCCGGAGCCCGAGCGAGGAGCAGCGGCATCAGCATCAGCCCTGCACGGTGTCAACCCCCTCCCCCCCCACCCCCACGACACTGCGGGAGGCGACAGATCCAGAGTCAGATCCACGTCGAGCCTCTGCATTACGCACGGATCCCGAGACACCCGCCGTGCCAGATCTGTGCGGATCTGCAAATCTTACTGAGTCTGAGCCGTTTTTGTTGTTTCCTCCAAACTCGTGTCTTCTCGCCGAGGCAGGGGCGATGACTTTCTCCTCTTCCACCCGCACGACGAGCCTCCTCCTGGAGCCTGACTCCACACGAACACCCGGACTGTAGGAGCGAGACTTTTATCACCGAGCGCCGGCTCATCAGCGAGTATAAAGAGGAGACTTTATTGGTCAGGGACGGCGCTTAAAACATCACGCTTGCTGTAAATCAAGTCAGGAGCATCAAGCCCAAGTGCAAGACGAATGGTTTGGGTAACTAAATCTTCACTTTACTACCGGCTGCATGCACGGATAAGACCCTTCACATATACCTGCTGTTATGGTCTGATGGGGCGGTTATGAAACAGGTGTTGCAGGGAGAGGGATTGTTAAATTGTCAAGGGGACGTCGCAGCACAGCGCTGCATGCTGGGGCAGCTGATGATCACATTTCAAGTAAACAAACAAAAGCCATAACTCTGTAAAAACATCAACCTGATAAATCAACAGATGTTTCAGTCATAAGGCTTTAAAGGGGGTTTATCCAGCAGCATTATCAGGGGTTATCCACACTGACTGCATGCTTCCACCTCCATTAATTAATGAGTTTGCACATGATGGCAGAGACCTTGTCCTGATGCCCTTGGGTGCTCTTTGTGTGCTACCACCTGTGAACACCGGAGAGAGATGCTGTGTTTGATGGGCTGTGCAGCTCATGTGAGGTGTGTTTATGGAGATGAAGTGGGTGTAGAGGGTTTAATTCCTGCTGCATGGAGCTCTGTCTGGATATCGCCCACTATTAATAGAAAACAAATGCAAGTGGTGAAAACCCCCCAGGCTTGGCTCCATCTCAGTGCTGCACAGAGCTTTTTCTTCTGGATGAATGCTGGTACACTATATTTAGGGGGGGGGGGGGCATGTGCAGGAGTGACACATGAAAGAGGGAATTTTTTTGTGGGAAAATGATTTTCATCGCAAAACTGAATACAGGCTGTAAAAAAAAATAATAAGAGCAAATCCTCCACCTGGACGATATAACATGCCATTACTCAAGCTTAACGGTGAAATAGGTTGTCTCACCTTGTCAACAGCAGTGTCACTTCCCAGACTGGGGAGTGATGAATCTGGTCATTATTGATGAGCCGAGTGGACGGACAGGCTGTCATCCCAGGTCCCTCTCTCAGAACAGAATAAATTACACGGCGCTGACAGGGGAGTCACAACACAAACACAGGGCGACAGGGGAGATTTCCGGGAGCTAAATTCAAGGCGCAGGTGGAAAAACTTAAGAGGCCAGACCTTTTTGAGAGAACGCCAGCTGCAACAGAGGCTGCAAACTTATCCACCTCCTCCCTCTCTTCTTCCCAGCAGAGTGGGTTTGTTACCATAGACAGAACAATACAATAAAATTCTGATTCCAATATCCCTCTAAATCTGCAGCTTGGTGAAATTCATTCAGTTTTTCAGGCAACGATAATCAAGTTGCAGTGTGTGGTGAGACAAAGGGGCTTCACAGGCAATCAGATATTACGAATGCTGGCATGATCCACGCCTGTCCTCCCACCGTGCCCCCGAGCCGATTAATCAGTCGAGATCATTCCTTTCTTCATCTCTTTTATTCATCTGTTTCAGAACAAACTCTAATGTCTGGGATATTTCAATACCCAGGGCGATGAATAGATTCGGGTTCATCCAGGCCAAGCTAGCTCATGAGATGCATGTCTTTTCTATAAGTGGGTGGAAGTCACATTCTATCTGCATCTCAGCCTTTTCCTCTTCATCACTTTCTCCCCCCTTCTCCCTCAGAGCTTATTTATGAACTATTACCATCATACAGTAACACTTTATCAGGCATGTAGACAGCCAAAAGGCCTATTAATCCATCACACACTGTCTTATGCTCCTGCTCCTTCTCCACACACACAATCTCAAAACCTCTTTTTTTTTTACCCGCTGGAGTCCCTAGGCCCTCTTCAGTGATTCAGTCAGCACCGAGGAGATGGCAGGGCTCCTGTTAGTCTTACAGTGAGGGGAGCGATGTGTCTTCCATCGGCGAGACATCAATACACATTTTTCACTGGCGAACTTCTCTCAGAGGCCGCAATCATGCTCAAAATCTCCCGCTCGATCACGCTCAACAGTTGCCGTTACGACACATCTGAAACGGTAATGATTTTATATTATAATGTCATTGATCCTGTTGAGCGGGTGACACTCTGAGTGTTGCCGAGCAGATAAACAGACAAGTCCACAGGGTCCGAGCTGGGATTTTCAGTTAAATACAACAAACAGGTGTTGGTTCGATTACACCATAAAGTCAATGATAGTTTTCCATGCTGAAATCAATACTGAGGTTTTACTGTCCAGGGCCGAGATATGAGCCGCAACATTGGAAATGGAGGGGGGGGCACATTAGCATTGCCTGCATGCACTCAAGCAGAGCGTGTACACAGACACAAGACAAACGCATTTCTATACAAATAGCAAGTTATCAATATTCATCTGAAATGAGAGATGATTAAAGGCTGCAGCACAGTATGAGAATAAACAGGGCAGACTATGGAGGGAAAGAAAAGGCTTTGACAGGGCACCTTGCTGCGCCTGAACACAATTAATTAATAATGTATAAGCCGAGTATAAAAAAAAAAGCAGAGACAACAACAGTGAACAGAGAAAAGTAACAGGGGAAAGGTTGGGAAAGCCTCAGAATCATCAAAAGGAGTAATGTTGGGAGGTTTGCAGAGAAAAGACGACTATTTAATTCAAAGGGCTGCAGAGAAAAAAAAACAATTTGACAGGATTTTCAGCTTAAGCATAGGGGTAGATGAAGCTTTGGTCAAGGACGAAGGGTGCTTACTCTGCAGCCTGCGCCTCCAACCACAGCAACAAGCAAACTATTTTACATGTACATCATCTTATCTTGCAAATGTGTCAGTCTACCAGGGGACAGATGGCAGCGTGTGGAGCGATGTGAGGGGAGTTTGAATTCTGTTGATGTAACAGCTTTCTCACTGTGCATCTGTGCGTGTGTCTCTTTACAGGCATGGTGCCCACGCCCCAGGTGTGCGTATCAACCCTGGTCACGGTGAGCACGATGGCAGTGGTCGACCTCTACCTATTGGAGCAGAGCATGCTGGGCGCTCACGGTCTTCCAGGACCAAGTGTCTGGCAGTGTGCAGCAGTGTTGCTAGGAGATGTGGGCTTCCTGCTCGCGCTGCGCTTTGTGTCAGCCGGCGTGGTGTCAGAGGTGCGGTCGCCAAGGCGGGGTTTTGCCAACGCCCTCTGGTTCCTCTTCCTGTCCCTGCTCCAGCTCAAGCTCTTCTTCGTCTGCCATAACTACAGACAGGAACGCCGGCCGCCCGACCCGCTGGCCCGGAAGACCCTGACACTGCTGCTGTCCATCTGCTTGCCCTCCTTGTTCCTAATCCTGACTGGAGCTGACCACATGACCCCTCAGCGCAGGAAGCAGGAGGTGCGGGGTCGGCTGTTGTGGGTGGTCGTGGACCTGCTGGATGTACTGGACCTGCAGGCCGGGCTGTGGGAAGTCCAAGGAGGCGTCTCAGCTGGGACTGGAGGGGTTGTTGAACAGCAGCTGCCAATCTGGGCCGAGGGTCTGGTCTTCTTTTACTGCTACGCCCTCCTCCTGCTGCTGCCGTGTGTGGCCCTCACAGAGCTTGGGGCCACCGGTCTGCCAGGACAGAGGGGGCCCCGTAAGGAGGCTTTGTACCCTTGGCTCAGCTTGGTCACCATCAATATCTTCACCCTGGCTCTGAGGGGCACAGGCATGCTGTGGTACCGGGACCCCCGTGTGTCCACTGTGTTCCTGGGGAAGAACCTGCTGGCTCTGGCTGTGAAGCTGAGCTCAGCCTGGGAGAGACACAAGCAGGAGCGAGCTGCTGCGGGAGCTGGGACTGTGGCTGGAGCGGAACCAGGAGACTCGACCATGCCAAGCCAGAGCTTGGAGCAGGGAGAGGGCGAGGCTCAGGGGAAAGCTCCTCCTTCTCATTATCACTCACTGTCTCGCTCCCAAAGCCACACACTCTCCCACGTCAGCCTGGAGCCTGCAGAGACGCCCTTAGGACCCTCTTTCATCTCACACGAACTCTAGAGAGTCTCCAGCTGTCTGAACATGCACGCATGCAAAAATGCATGTATGCACACCCACACTCAACACTCAGACCAGCCAGTATCACATCCAAACAGATAACTTGTATTGAATTTCAGTACAACAGTGATGGGTTAATGCCGAGCTGTGGAAATGCATTTGGCAAGCTCAGCTTTCTGCACATTTTGTTGTGCTAAGAAAAACTCAAAATGCATTGCTGTGATTTGTGGGTGTGTATTTTTAAATTGAACACTGTGAACACATCTATGCGAGTGTAAAGAATATTCCAGAAATGTAAACTGGAGTCTGGCAGTGCTTATTCTTGTTTAATCTGGGCACAACCGCCTCAACTCAACTGCCACAATGTTTCTGAACTCTGTCCTTCACACACCAACTTGAAGTTAAAGTTTTACTTGTTTTCAGTTGTTCGTGTATAGATACAAGTTAAATTTCATGCTAAAAAAAATCTGATGCCACTGCAAATTCCGACTCTGTGTAGGGGTGTGAACAACTCCTCTGTGGTTCACTCATTAGTTTCTGTTAATAAGATCAGCACTTCATTAGATAAAGTTAAAAAACGTCTGTGACCTTTCAGTGTACATTTTCTTTGACACTTTACAGCGAACTTTCACAGGAGAAAAAAAAATACAGAGGGGTGATTTTTTTTCTTCTTTCAGGACCACGGAGGCATGATTTAAAAGCCATCCAAGCAGTAAATGTCGCTCTACACGGTGCTCCAATATTTCAATGTAACTCAATGGTTTCAAACCTCTTGGGTGACCCTTTAAATCAAAGGCTTTGTGACCCTGAGTGATGTTCATCTTATATATTTTTTTTAATTTCGATACATTTTAGAGGCTGGACAATGTGATATTATTTACTTTTTCCACAACATTAAAATGCAAAACAGACGAGAAACATACAGATGTTTTTTTCATGGTCTCACAACCTCCATGATTTATCTTGCGACCCCTTTAAGGGCCCCTGCATCAAGGTTGTGCACCGCATCTGCAGTGGTGTCAGATTTTCTTTCCAACCCAAGGTAACACGCTGATTTCACTGTTAGTTCATCCTGTCTGGCGGAGAATGTTAATCAGAGGAATCAGTCACTGTGGTGTTTGGTTGGAGTGAAAACCTGCAGACTCATGAGCCTCATGTTCGACCATCCCCGCTGAACTGTTTCTGGTCTCCTGATATTTTTTTAGTTGATTTAAATGCAGAGTTTGAACGTCAGTTAATTGGCAAAATGATTTCAGATGCGTTTGTTGTCCTCACATATTTCCCGAGCTGTTAAAACCATCTAATAGACATTTTAACATAACTTAATGTGCATAACTCAAGATTACAGCTGTTTATGAACGACACTGTTTCCATAAATGTAATATGTTACTGGTAGGGCTGGATGATGTGCAATAAGCATTTTTGCATCATCTTAAACCTATTATAAAACAAACTCCAGGTCTATTTTACTGCACTGTTTGCAAAGACAGAACACCAGTGTAAGTAATCCCTTTACACATTCTGAATTCATGTTTTGCCGTCTTTTGTCGTCTGTACTTTCAGAAACGTCTCTTTGGGAAAGCTGCCTGTCCTACCGTTCAAAAACTCTGTTTTTCACTAAGAATTAATTTTTTAATCCAACATGAATTACCGTGTGGAAGTATTTGGCCGTCGTGGGATTATGGGTTAGGGCGGGAGGTGTAGTGGATGTTCAGTTCAGTCAAGTGCCTTGTTTCCTCATGGAGCTATGAGCCTCCAGCCTGTCAAAGAGGCGCACACATTACGTGTACCATGCGGAACTTGGACATATGCCATGTGTATACTGTGAAGTTATTCCACAGCTGTTGTCAGCTACACCTCCAGGACAGAGTGCAAACTAATAAAGTGTTTCATACTCGCTGAGTGTTGACAGTTCATTGGCTATTATGTAGGAGCATTATTGGCAGGCTGTCGCCCACACGCACGGGGAAAAACATGAGGAGTCGGTTCATATTATTCAAGGCCAAGAGACAAATAACTGCCTGTTACTTGCAGAACCTTCTTCATATTAAAGTCAATCATCTTCTGATCTGCAGCTACAGAAAATTGCATGTTTTTCCTCACACTGAACTGGGGAAGTGAATGGAAGCTACACACACATTAAGCAGAGAAGCGCGCGCTTTGCTTCACAGAGTGGTGCGCTGACGAAAAGCCGCCATTCGTCACAATTACGCCAGCGGCCCCATCAGCCCAGATCCTCTCGTCGTAATCCTTGAGTGTGCCGTCGAGCTGTCTATCTTTAAATGCAGAGAGAGAGAAGTCTTGATGTGATGGAGTGTGCATGTCAAGAGTTGTAGTAAGCATGTGAGATGCTTTTCAGAGTGAACTGGCTCTTTGCTCACAGCGGACCTGAACGCACCCGTCAGCCTCTCTTCTGTGATCTAATGGTTCTATTAATTGAAATTGAGGCTGTTCGTCAACATGCAAGCACTTATTCTCACTGCTTTATGCTTGATTTACAAACTGTATTTACAGGATGTATTAAGACTAATGTACACACTCCAAAAACAAATTTATTTAAAGTTTCAGTGGGGAATTTCTCTCCGGTTCAGATAGAATTTTAAGGAAAAAACCCACAGAGGGATAACCAGTGTAGTAGACAGCATCCAAGCCTTGGCTTCCCTCTTTCTTTCATCTCCTCCTCCGTCGATCACTCTACATTTCAAACACACGCATTCTGGATGCACTCTCTGTTGGGACACATCTCATAATTCTATAATACTAAAAGCAGTGACTGCATAGGCAGCAGCCTCCGTAAATGACTACCTGCTAGAATTTGTTACACCTGTTAAACTCTGGATACAATGCTCAGCATTTTCCTTCAGCTTTCACCGGCTGTCATAACCTGCTCGAGAAGCAAAGTGCAGAAGCCACTTTTCTCTATTTTCTTCTTCTTTTGCCACTCTCGCGTGCTCTCTATTCTTTCCCTTTGTCCGCCTGTGCTAATTTCATTCTTATTCTCATGTACCAAAGATGTCGGTTTTCCTTTTTTTGTTTCTCTTTCCTCCTTTTATTCTTCTCGTTTGTTTAAATTTGCCCTGCAGCCGACAGGCAGCCTACCTCTCTGCACTTCCTCTGTCAAGGGTGGTTAGTCAGAAACGAGAAAAAAAACTGAGGAGAGGTTGGCTAAGATTAAAGGGCCGGGCCATTGCCTTAAGCAGAGCGGCTGCCGCGCAGACTACCATTTATTTACTGTATGTGACTCAACGTGTGTGCTCGATGGTGCACGAGAGTCTAGAGAGACAAACACACACAACATGCTGCCCTGACAACAATGACATCCTAAACAGTCCAAAAACCTTTAGACAAACATATGGCTTTGTTTCGCTTGGTCGAGCTCTTGGTTACGACCCATCTCAACTCATTACCACGATGCTGCGACAGCTACGGTATGCTAGTGTACGAGTTCACACCCACCTAGTCTGGCAGCAAGAGCCACATTTAGCAGACAGATGTCTAAATCATTCATCATAGCACACACCATCAGCACCACAGCGTTAGGAGAGAACTTCAAAGTACATTCTATGAGAAAGAAATGATGCAAAAGAATGTGGGGCTCTTCTGATATGCAATGCAATTCTGGAGGAAAATGCAAACTAATACTTGTCTCACATGGCAGGGCTGTACCTGCTGCAGAAATTGAATGAAATAGAAATGAACCGATGTTTAATCGTTTTAGTTAAATAACAAACACAAAGGCTGCTGCTGAATCCAGCTCATCAAATCTGAGGATGTGCTGCTTTTCTCCATTATATTTCCATTATGAAGACAAAAGCGGTGAGAAGTATTTAAGTATCAATCTTACAAAGAAAAATATTAATACCACGGTGCAGAAACAAGATATGCAGAATAGTTCATTATAGAATAACATACATTACATTATATTAATTGAAGACTTGTTGCAGCAGGTAAAGCAATTTGGATGTTGCTGGTAGATTAAATGACATTAAATGGTGGCAAAAAAAACACAAAATATCCCTCAGAAGGGTGGTGAAATAAAAATACATAGAAACTTAAAATAGAACAATACACTAAGAGTAGAGTACTCCTAAGTGCAAAGTGAATGAATTTATATGCACTTTTCAAGTCCACCAATCACTCAAAGTGCTTTACATTGTATGTCTCGTTCAACCATTCAATTACACATAATCATGCACACACTCACACGCTGGTAACACAGCAGCACCAGTGTCTTGCTTCTGAAGGAGCCGGGGAATGCTCAAGGAACATTCTGATCACAAGAAGACTACCGCCCGAGTGTGAGTGGGTTGACAATTTTTACCTGCAGCCTATAACCACCAGTTTGCATTTGTCTCTGTACGTTACATAGAAGGTGATTAATTTAAAAACAGTGAATAACATAAAATATGAAGACTGAAAGGACAAACTGTAAAAAAACTGTTCCAAAGGACAGAAACATGAAACTGAGAGGGATGTTATAGAAAAGTACAAGTGACATTAAAAGTAATTTCCATTGAGTCTTGTGTTCATAAATTAAACAGACACTGAATATCTGGGCAGGACAGAGCCAGGAACATATGTTGCAAGGTGAAATGGACCAAATAAACAGAGACAGGCAGGAACCAACACACTGCACTTGTTGAAGTCGGTGAAGAAACCACTATTCTTACTTTGCATGTCTAGAGCTGTCACACATTTCACATTCTTCAAAATGATCCGATTCTAACCATAGAATCTTTGGGAAGGAGGCAGAATGGTGAATTTCAGAATATATCGCAACAGCAGCAAAAATACACTGCAAAAATACCACACATCTAACATACCAGCCCTCATGTCACTCTGACTAGTTTTATGTGACATGAGAGACACAGAGGATTGATTAAAAATTCATGACTGCTATTGTTTGGAGTTATAAGTGTATGGCTATTGATAGCTGCCATCAAAATGTGTTTTCTATCTGTCAAGACTATTCATTTTTCTATAACAGATGTTTCTGCACATAAAGTTACAGGTGTACAGTGTCTTCTGTTATGTAAAATTAAGTCGAAAGGTTCCTGAGGCACTACATGCTACAGATTTGCCGTTGAGAAAAACTCAACGACCTCTAGAGTCGAGAGCTGAGTGACAGAGCCAGTTTCTTTCTGCATCGGTGGCCTCCAGCGTAGCTGAAGGAAGGCAGATTTAGCTGAGCCTTAAATGTGATCAGTAAAAATCAAAAAATCAATTATACATCTAACTGGTAAACAGTGCAGAGACAGTAAAATTGGGTTATTATGGCCTCTTTGCTTGGCAGCAGTTACAATCCTGCCGGCTGTATTTCTGAGCAGAAATAAAAAATGCTGCAATAGGCTGAGATTAAATCCTCCTCTTTATTATTGGATGGAAAATGTCTCTGTGTATTTTCCCCTCAGAAGTGAAGTCACTGTCACAGATCAATCTGACACATCTGAGTCCTGCAAGACTCTTGAGAAAACAATTTCAGCACCACACATCATCACTTCTTCAGTTGATGAAGTAAACTTGTTAGCAAACAGCTCCATATTTACACATCCTGCGGATGCCCATAAAGAGTATTTCGTGCTGACTGACAAAACATATATCCTCGTCGTTATGACATAAACATGTGTGAGTAAAAGCATCGAACAAGAAATGCGGCATATAAAAAAATTACATTCCCCATGCATTCACACAGGGTTTGAAATATTATCTTTAAGAAAAAAATATGTGCGCACACACACATATAGGGGCAGTACAGTTGGCAGTACTCAAGCGACACTACGTGCAACAGATTCCAATGATAAATCTTCATGGTTTCTGAACAACAAGTGAGCCCTTCCACTTTATACTTTCTCTGATCTGTTAATGATCAAACTATTGATTAGTGCTGCTTTGAGGCAGGTTTCCAACAGTTCTCTTCTGCGATGTAAAAAACTCTGAGATTTCCAACACTTGCTGAAGGACCAGTGGATTATGGAGACTGGGTCACCAAAAAGGTAAAACTGAGCATCACCTGCATAGAAAACTAGTCTACTCATGTAGACAGAGAAAACAACAGAGTCTTGAGCCAAGTTTTATGACTGTGAGATTGTATGAATTGTAGTTTTTTTTAGCCCAGAAAAGGCCCTTTATATTAAAATACATTATATTTACATTGAGGGGGTCCTCTCTACGGAGGCCGCCATGTTTTTTACATTAGTCCAGACCAGACAAACTAAACACCTTTTGAGTTTTTATGCCAACTGAAGGTTTCCACTAGGTGAGGGGTGTTCAGCTGCAACATGCAATTTTAACAGCAGATATCACAAAATTCTACACACTGAACCTTTAAGTTAACTCCTTTCTGACATCTAGACACTTTATTTCCTGATTTTATGAATCACGTGTGTCTCCTTTTCTGCCAGCTGTATTCACTTTTCCATTCTCCTCTGAGTGTCGTCATTAAGTCACTAAGATGGATTAACTGTGAGAATTGATCTGGTTTCCAAGTGTGCAACAGCATCCAAGGCTGATGAGCACTGTCCATTAAAGAGGCTAACTGGATCATTTGTATGTACAGAATGAGCCACAGGCTTTTTTCATTTAGTCTTGTAAAGGAAAATCACATTTTAATAACTGAATGACCATTAGAGCACAGCAGATTGTGACTTTATGATGTGACATAAAATA